TACCCATCACTGACACACCCTCTCCTTCACTGCACAAGGGGTCTAGTATACCCATCACTGACACACCCTCTCCTTTATAACACTAGGATTCTTGTATACCCATCACTGACACACCCTTTCCTTCACTACACTAGGATTCTTGTATACCCATCACTGACACACCCTTTCCTTCACTACACTAGGAGTCTTGTATACCCATCACTGACACAACCTCTCTTTCACTACACTAGGAGTCTTGTATACCCATCACTGACACACCCTCTCCTTCACTACACTGGGAGTCTTGTATACCCATCACTGACACACCCTTTCCTTCACTACACTAGGAGTCTTGTATACCCATCACTGACACAACCTCTCTTTCACTACACTAGGAGTCTTGTATACCTATCACTGACACACCCTCTCCTTCACTACACTAGGAGTCTTGTATACTTATCACTGACACAACCTCTCCTTCACTACACTAGGAGTCATGCATACCCCACACTGACACACCCTCTCCTTCACTACACTAGCAGTCATGTATACTTTTCACTGACACAACCTCTCCTTTATAACACTAGGAGTCTTGTATACCTATCCCTGACACATCCTCTCCTTCACTACACTAGGAGTCTTGTATACCCATCACTGACACAACCTCTCTTTCAGTACACTAGGAGTCTTGTATACTTATCACTGACACAACCTCTCCTTCACTACACTAGGAGTCTTGTATACTTATCACTGACACACCCTCTCCTTTATAACACTAGGAGTCTTGTATACCCATCACTGACACACCCTTTCCTTCACTACACTAGGAGTCTTGTATACCCATCACTGACACAACCTCTCTTTCACTACACTAGGAGTCTTGTATACCCATCACTGACACACCCTCTCCTTCACTACACTGGGAGTCTTGTATACCCATCACTGACACACCCTTTCCTTCACTACACTAGGAGTCTTGTATACCCATCACTGACACAACCTCTCTTTCACTACACTAGGAGTCTTGTATACCTATTACTGACACACCCTCTCCTTCACTACACTAGGATTCTTGTATACCCATCACTGACACACCCTTTCCTTCACTACACTAGGAGTCTTGTATACCCATCACTGACACAACCTCTCTTTCACTACACTAGGAGTCTTGTATACCCATCACTGACACACCCTCTCCTTCACTACACTAGGATTCTTGTACACCCATCACTGACACACCCTTTCCTTCACTACACTAGGAGTCTTGTATACCCATCACTGACACAACCTCTCTTTCAGTACACTAGGAGTCTTGTATACTTATCACTGACACAACCTCTCCTTCACTACACTAGGAGTCTTGTATACTTATCACTGACACACCCTCTCCTTTATAACACTAGGAGTCTTGTATACCCATCACTGACAAAACCTCTCCTTCACTACACTAGGAGTCATGTATACCCATCACTAACACACCCTCTCCTTCACTACACTAGGAGTCTTGTATACCTATCACTGACACACCCTCTCCTTCACTACACTAGGAGTCTTGTATACTTATCACTGACACACCCTCTCCTTTATAACACTAGGAGTCTTGTATAGCCATCACTGACACACCCTCTCCTTCACTACACTAGCAGTCATGTATACTTTTCACTGACACAACCTCTCCTTCACTACACTAGAAGTCTTGTATACCTATCACTGACACACCCTCTCCTTCACTACACTAGGAGTCTTGTATACTTATCACTGACACAACCTCTCCTTCACTACACTAGGAGTCATGCATACCCCACACTGACACACCCTCTCCTTCACTACACTAGCAGTCATGTATCCTTTTCACTGACACAACCTCTCCTTCACTACACTAGGAGTCTTGTATACCTATCCCTGACACATCCTCTCCTTCACTAAACTAGGAGTCTTGTATACTTATCACTGACACACCCTCTCCTTCACTACACTAGGAGTCTTGTATACTTATCACTGACACACCCTCTCCTTCACTCAATAGGAGTCTTGTATACCTATCACTGACACACCCTCTCCTTCACTACACCAGGATTGTTGTATACCCATCACTGACACACCCTCTCCTTCACTACACTAGGAGTCTTGTATACCTATCACTGACACACCCTCTCCTTCACTACACTAGGAGTCTTGTATACCCATCACTGACACACCCTCTCCTTCACTACACTAGGAGTCTTGTATACCTATCACTGACACACCCTCTCCTTTATAACACTAGGAGTCTTGTATACCCATCACTGACACATCCTCTCCTTCACTACACTAGGAGTCATGTATACCCATCACTAACACAACCTCTCCTTCAGTACAAGAGTCTTGTATACCCATCACTGACACACCCTCTCCTTCACTACACTAGGAGTCTTGTATACCCATCACTGACACATCCTCTCCTTCACTACACTAGGAGTCTTGTATACCCATCACTAACACAACCTCTCCTTCAGTACAAGAGTCTTGTATACCCATCACTGACACACCCTCTCCTTTACTACACTAGGAGTCATGCATACCACACACTGACACAACCTCTCTTTCACTACACAAGGGGTCTGGTATACCCATCACTGACACACCCTCTCCTTCACTACACTAGGAGTCTTGTATACCCATCTCTGACACACCCTCTCCTTCACTACACAAGGGGTCTGGTATACCCATCACTGACACAACCTCTCCTTCACTGCACTAGGAGTCTGGTATACCCATCATTGACACACCCTCTCCTTCACTACACAAGGGGCGTGGTATACTTATCACTGACACACCCTCTCCTTCACTGCACAAGGGGTCTGGTATACCCATCACTGACACAACCTCTCCTTCACTGCATTAGGAGTCTTGTATACCCATCACTGACACACCCTCTCCTTCACTACACAAGGGGTCTTGTATACCCATCACTGACACACCCTCTCCTCACTACACAAGGGGTCTGGTATACCCCTCACTGACACACCCTCTCCTGCACTGCACAAGGGGTCTGGTATACCCATCACTGACACACCCTCTCCTGCACTGCACTAGGAGTCTTGTATACCCATCACTGACACACCCTCTCCTTCACTACACTAGGAGTCTGGTATACCCATCACTGACACAACCTCTCCTTCACTGCACTAGGATTCTTGTATACCCATCACTGACACACCCTCTCCTTCACTACACTAGGAGTCTGGTATACCCATCACTGACACACCCTCTCCTTCACTGCACTAGGAGTCTTGTATACCTATCACTGTCACACCCTCTCCCTCACTACACTAGGATTCCTGTATACCCATCTCTGACACACCCTCTCCTTCACTGCACAATGGGGTCTGGTATACCCATCACTGACACAACCTCTCCTTCACTGCACTAGGAGTCTTGTATACCCATCACTGACACACCCTCTCCTTCACTACACTAGGAGTCATGCATACCACACACTGACACAACCTCTCCTTCACTACACAAGGGGTCTGGTATACCCATCACTGACACACCCTCTCCTTCACTACACTAGCAGTCTTGTATACCCATCTCTGACACACCCTCTCCTTCACTACACAAGGGGTCTGGTATACCCATCACTGACACAACCTCTCCTTCACTGCACTAGGAGTCTGGTATACCCATCATTGACACAGCCTCTCCTTCACTACACAAGGGGCGTGGTATACTTATCACTGACACACCCTCTCCTTCACTACACTAGGAGTCTGGTATACTTATCACTGACACAACCTCTCCTTCACTACACAAGGAGTCTGGTAAACCCATCACTGACACACCCTCTCCTTCACTGCACTAGGAATCTTGTATACCCATCACTGACACACCCTCTCCTTCACTACACTAGGAGTCTTGTATACCCATCACTGACACACCCTCTCCTTCACTACACAAGGAGTCTGGTATACCCATCACTGACACACCCTCTCCTTCACTGCACTAGGAATCTTGTATACCCATCACTGACACACCCTCTCCTTCACTACACTAGGAGTCTTGTATACCCATCACTGACACAACCTCTCCTTCACTGCACTAGGAATCTTGTATACCCATCACTAACACACCCTCTCCTTCACTACACTAGGATTCTTGTATACCCATCACAGACACAACCTCTCCTTCACTACACAAGGAGTCTTGTATACCCATCACTGACACACTCTCTCCTTCACTACACAAGGAGTCTGGTATACCCATCTCTGACACAACCTCTCCTTCACTGCACTAGGAATCTTGTATACCCATCACTGACACACCCTCTCCTTCACTACACTAGGAGTCTTGTATACCCATCACTGACACAACCTCTCCTTCACTGCACTAGGAGTCTTGTATACCCATCACTAACACACCCTCTCCTTTACTACACTAGGATTCTTGTATACCCATCACAGACACAACCTCTCCTTCACTACACAAGGAGTCTTGTATACCCATCACTGACACAACCTCTCCTTCACTACACTAGGATTCTTGTATACCCATCACAGACACAACCTCTCCTTCACTACACTAGGAGTCTTGTATACCCATCACTGACACACCCTCACCTTCACTGCACAAGGGGTCTGGTATACCCATCACTGACACAACCTCTCCTTCACTGCATTAGGAGTCTTGTATACCCATCACTGACACACCCTCTCCTTCACTACACAAGGGGTCTTGTATACCCATCACTGACACACCCTCTCCTTCACTACACAAGGGGTCTGGTATACCCATCACTGACACACCCTCTCCTGCACTGCACAAGGGGTCTGGTATACCCATCACTGACACACCCTCTCCTGCACTGCACTAGGAGTCTTGTATACCCATCACTGACACACCCTCTCCTTCACTACACTAGGAGTCTGGTATACCCATCACTGACACACCCTCTCCTTCACAGCACAAGGGGTCTGGTATACCCATTACTGACACACTTTCAATCACTACACTATGAGTTTGACTTTCCACATGTAACTTACTTCGTAAGCATGGTGTTTGTGACTGCAATGCTGACAACTTTTCTCACCATCACCAGAGAGTCCCAGAAACAGCAGCGGTTGTTGTACGAGTCATACACAAACCTGCAACATGACAAGTAGTCACTACAAAAAACATGTCTATGAATTGATATATGAGTCACATTTTCAAGAGGAATAGAACATATTTATCCGAACAACTTGTCCTGATATATATCTATTGATGAGTGACTGAGTTACTATTGCAATTACACATCAACTGATAATTGATAATCAGGTAATAATTGGCATTAATTACCTGAATATTCACATTAGACTACTTTATGGTTTTAACCTGTCACAGCAAGAATTTACCATATCCATGTTGCATTTATTAAACTAATAATCATTCAACACTTAATCGGTTTTAAGATTTGTAACTGCAAACATTGTATAATGTGTCACCCATATCTCGCTGACTTGCAGTCCAGGAGCCCCCACTTCCTTTGTCGAAGTGTGAAGAATATGAGCAGGAGAGGCAGCAGTACAATGTACACCAGCAGTAACAGCGTCAACAGAAAGTTGAGGGTCTACTCACATAGAACAAACTTCATACAGATATGGAACACTAAAATTCAGGGCCTTTTCAAACTTGCCAATTGTCATTTTCAACGCTTTATTAGAAGGGTTATTGGCCTTACTCTGTCAATATTTCATTAAATCCAGCAAACAATATATTTACATTTAGTACTAACTACTAAATGACTTTATCGCTCGTATCCAAACCATGGACTAATTACGTCTGTAACCCAATCACCCCTCGTAACTCAATCACCCCGGGCCACCACTCGGCACCGTGCCCGGGGAATAATCCTGCGCAAGCATCATCCCGCCCTTTGTTAGTCCGTCATTCGCGAACAGCCCTTCCCCAAGTACACACGTGTGTCACTGTATCTAACCGCTTTCGCTTTGTACGTTTCCTTGGTACCCAGTCGCGACCGTTTCGCCGATTACGCTTTGAATACCATCTATTCCAACACTCGCCGTATCGCATTTACACAATCGCGACCGTTTCGCCGATTATGCTTTGAATACCACCTATTTCAGCACTCGCCGTATCGCATTTATTCCGTTCTACTCCCGAACTTCACCCTCGGGACAATTTTACGCTTGTGGAATACCAACTCACCACCTCGACCTTTCGTGATGCCTCCCAAGAGAAGAGCAGCCGTCAACCACAAGCTTGTGAGGGGAGCCAAGCAGGCCAGGACAACCAGAAGACAAACCCCGGGAGTATACATTATACAGGAGGCAACAGCTGATGGTGAGTCTGCCAATTACGGAAATATCGAAGGGGGCAACAGAATTAACGTACAATCGGCGCAGCTTGTAAATGCCGCTCAGGCTGCCAACTCGGCTACCCAGGTAAACGAGCAACTGGAAAAAAAAAAATACTCCAGTTGCTGGAACATTCAGCGCCCGGCCCGGTTAGCGCAAACCAACAGGTAAGGCTTGGTTTTAGTTCTCCCGCCATTTCGCCCAACATAGGGAGAATCCCCGATGCTTACAACGAGGCTGACGGTGACGCGGCTTGGCCAGCCAATCACATCGCAGGATACGGGGATTCCCTTTCCTTCCGTGCGGATGGAATAGACGCGCACGTCAAACAAACGGTGAGGGAAAAAATCTGGCGTGGCGAGTATGTCGACCTCGGCACAATCCTACCAAACACCGAGGGAAGTCACGAGGACGGTACGATTACCATGGCGTACGACTCCTCAGGTAAGGTAATTTTTAAACCAATAAAGCAGCAACCAAAGCGCCTGTCCCTGGCAAGCTGGACTTCAGCTTTCCACATTTTCATGTGTATATATGTTAGTAGGCACTCCGAGGTACGCACAACCCAGGGGTTGCTGTCCTACATGGAAACCATAGGAACGGCGGCACTTCGATTCGGGGGGGATGCCTGGTCAACCTACGACCAACAATTCCGACACAGAATGTCAAGGGACCCCTCACGACGCTGGGTCAACATCGACGGGGAGTTGTGGCTGAAGTACATGGTAACACAGCCGGTACTACAACCAGAATCAGGCGGACGGGGCGCAATGACACGCGTACAGGGGGACATCGCCAGTCAGGTATGCTGGGATTTCAATAAATTTGGCTGTAGCAGGGTCAACTGTAAGTACACTCACAAATGCGGTAAGTGTGGCAAACATTCCCATAGCTCTAGGAACTGCTTTCGAGAGAATGGGGTCCAACCGACCCCATACAAGCCCAATCAGCCTTTTGCCTAACAGAAAACCAGCCGTCAGGGCAGGTGAATTCAATGGCCCCTTCCCCCGTGGATCTCAATGAAATGGCACCCTGGTTACGCCAATATGCTAGGGTCAATTACAGAGATGCAAATTATGTATGGGTAGGTTTTAGCTCTGGCTTTAAGCTCGAGTTCCAGGGAAGCCGCACGGGTCGCCTGGCACGAAACTTGCGATCGGCCATGCACCAAGACACGGCAGGCTACGTGAAACAAAAACTACAAAAGGAAGTCGACCTTGGCAGGATGGCGGGCCCCTTCAAGGACACCCCCCCTAGACAACCTCCAAGTATCCCCAATAGGCCTGGTGCCCAAGAAGCAGCCAGGATATGGTCAACACCTGGGTAAGCATGCGGAGGAATTCCGTCTAATTCACCATCTATCCTATCCCAGGGGTAAATCTATAAATGACTTCATAGACACAGAGGCCTGCTCCGTTGTGTACGCCAGATTTGATGAAGCTACCCATATGGTTCAACAACTGGGAAAGGGAGCACTACTAGCAAAATTCGACATTCAGTCGGCCTTTAGAATTATACCAGTCCACCCATCTGATTTCGAGCTGCTAGGCGTCAGATTCGAAGGTGAGTTCTATTTCGATAAATGCCTACCATTTGGCTGCTCCATATCTTGCGCCATATTTGAAACATTCAGAATCCCAGAGTCCAAGATCGAGGAGGCAACAAGGGAAATCCAAGACATCCTGTCAACAGGTAACATCAAGGTCACAAAAAGGGCCCTTCAGTCCCTCATAGGCAAGCTTAACTTTATGTGCAGGGCTATACCAATGGCAAGGGCATTCAGCCGCAGGCTAACCGATCTGCTTAGCAAAGGTAAGCAACCATTTCACCACATTAGGATTACCAGCTGGGTCAAGGAAGACCTACAAATGTGGTTAACATTGCTTACGAGTTATAACGGCATTTCAGTGTTTCAGGACCAACTATGGGTGGACAGCGATTTCCTCCAGCTGTTTTCAGACGCAGCGGGTGGCGCCGGCTTTGGGGCCTACATGCAGGGCAAATGGTTTAACGGCGCATGGCCACCCCAGTGGGTGACGGATGGAACTACACGGGACTTGACGCTACCTTGACATGGTGGCATCAATCCTTCGGATACAACTCCAGCTTCCTGACACCAAGATCATCGTATCCTCAATGCTGCACAGGCGCTACTGGCACGATGCCAGGGACCCACTAAAGATCGAGGGGATGCGGAAGAATATCAACCATCAACTGGCCAACCGAGTCAAAGAGCTCGGCGGTACAATGGTGCCACATCCCCAGATCCTGGCATCGGACAAGACATGGTACGCCTGGGAGGGCGTCCACCTCAGTGACAAAGGACTGTGTGTGTTTACGGACAATTTATTGCATGCCCTGGCGCTTGTTTTGCGCCAGTAAGGATATTATCTCCACAGGTTAGTGTTTCCTTTCAGTACATAGGCAAGCCGGGCAACAATGCTATCTCCGCATATCGCGTGGCCGTGGGTGTGGGGTAGCACTCTGGTGCTTTGTGGCGGGGTTCTTGTGGGCTACACTGCTAGTAACAAATTAACTTGCTTCCAAATTAATACTCGTGCTTGAGGCTACCTGCTTTTCAGCGGGAACCTTTCCGGGGTTACCTGCTTCTCAGTGGGAACCTTGTCTTTCCCGACTTTTCAGCCGGCGAATCGTAAAATAACATACGTTGGGGCAAACAATTGCCACGTATATGGGCCCGGCGGCGGAAGTCGTCTTGTCAAGCGGTAGCTGACAGTTGGGTCCGCGGCTTGGGAGCCGCACAATGGTTTTGCTAATGGGGCCGGGCAGTGGGATCTGCTTTGGCCGGCTACCTGGGGCCGGGCAGCGGTAGTCTGACTTAGGCCAGCAGCGTGGAGCTGCTTTTGGCAGCGTGGGAGTTGCCAAGCAATGGTAGCGGTTAAATATGCTACCGTGGGGGCCGGACAGCGGTAGCAGTCCCAGGCCAGCAGCGCTAGCTGCAATCGCCGTTGGCCACGCGCGTGGCCATGGCAACGGTAGCATTTTGGTATACACAATTAGCAGCTAAGTAGCCCACTAGTACCTGCACACCCTCGGCCATTTAACCCAATCTCATCTTCTGTTTTTATTATAGGCACGGGCATCCACGGCCCGGTGGCCCGTGCCTCTCCTTGGCATATCGCGGGATAATGGTATTTTTATTATACATTTTCTACCAAGATTTATTTTTCATCCAACACAAAAACAAATTAAGGCAGTCATAAATTCTTCAGGGTCTTTGACACACAAATCTATCACTGTGATAAATCTCACTTAAACATCTTGGCTACATATTGTGTGCTTGATTGACAAGTATCTGTCATTTTGTACAAATTCAAGACTTTTCAAGTATTTTGATGAGTTTCAAGGTTTTTCAAGGTTCACTCAAAATATCAAGGCTATTCACGAGTCACCTTAATATTCAAGGCTTTTTCAAGCCGTAATGAACCCAGTAGAAACAATTGCACTGCAATGCCATAATACAATTCCTTGTCCTTGCAGCAGACGGACTCCAAACAACATGTAACTAGGATAAAGGCATATGGTATGATATGAACTCAACAACTCATTAATTAGTAATGATCTAAGTATTATCAAAAATATACCAAAACACACATAGCTGTTTCCTATCTTATAACTCCTTATCTTGACCTTTATAGGATTACTAAAAGGTCAGTGCCTAAAGAAAAGGAACCCTTCATTATATCTTCAAGTATCTGTTAGAACACAGTTCTTATAAGTGGTAAGCTGTCCATCTCTATACTTCCGTGAGAGATTACCAATCCCTGCAGCTGAACAGAACCTGCTGTATTGGACTGGTAACATGCCACAGCTGTAAAAAGCATGTCCAATCTTCTCATTCACCAGGAATTTGTTGTCTGGGAGGTAGGGTGATGACACCAGACAATACTGGTGTGACTTGCGGCAGTGTACTTTCATCTTCATGACATGGCCTTGATAACTGATTTGGGCCACAGTCAATCTGTTGGAGCATTTTCGTCCATGCTTTTCTGCTACATCCAGGCACATTTTCATGGATGATTCAGATATAACCAAAAGATCTGTCATCAGTGTCACCTGGTCCAGCTGTCAGGTGTGTCACTGGTGGATCTTCCGGGGCAGTCAGGCCATGATGTTGGAGATAATACGATAATACCTGGTCCAGAACATCAGCATTATTAGCAGGCATACTGGTCTCTGCTTTCAGGTGAGCTTTCACCTGTTTCAGCTTTTGAAGAATACCTTCCTTGAC